ATAATAAGATTATAAATGTATTATTTGTTGTGAAAATCCTCCAAATGCTGTCTTAATGAATTGTGGTCATGGAGGTATCTGTTATTAATGTGCTATATAAATGGCTAAGAAAAATAAGGAATGTTTTCTATGTAGATAAAACATTAAAGAAATATATGAAATTGCAGAAAAGGATGTAAGTATACTCAAAAGAGTAATTTCTAAAACTAGAATATCTGGTTGATACTTAAATATATATATATATATATATATATATATATAATTTTTAACTGCATATGAAATCTCAATTTGAAGTATACTTGAGATTAAAACCATCCAATAAGTAATTATTGTAATTTAAACAGTTAATCTTAAAATGCCATGCAATATCAATTGAATCATAATAAGAGATTATAAGTTATATTACCTAGACATGTTAAATTTGGATTAGTCAATAATAGTAGAGATAATCTAGAATTCAATTTCACTCATGTATTTGATTAAAAGTCTACATAAGAATAAGTATTCAGTACTGTTACTATTCCAGTCATTAATAGGTAATGAATTAATTTCAAATCTTATTTTAGTTTCTTAGATGGATATAATGCTACCATTTTTGCTTATGGTTAAACTGGATCAGGTAAAACATACACAATGAGTGGTGCAGAAACTTGGTAATTAAGAGGAGTAATCCCAAGAGCATTATCTTATATATTTGATGAAATAGATAAACGAACTAAGTTTGAATATAAAATCTATATTTCCTTTATGGAAATTTATAATGAAAATGCTTATGATTTATTAGAAAAGAGACATCTTGAAACTCCTTTAGAATAATGGAATAAAGTAATTAATTTCTATTATAAATATTAGATTGCATTATATGAAGATGATTAAAATAATATTCATTTAAAAAACTTATCAATTCATTAGTGTAATAATGAATAAGAAGGAATTGATCTACTTATGATGGGCAATTTTATTAGATAAGTTAGTTCAACTCCAATGAATCAATCAAGTTCAAGATCCCATTGTATATTCACTGTAACACTTGAAGGTTGTGATACAACCAGTGAAACATGTTTTGTAAGCAAACTCCATTTAGTTGATTTGGCTGGATCTGAAAGAATCAGTAAATCTTAAGTTGAAGGCAATCTATTAAATGAAGCTAAATATATAAATCTTTCATTAACCTATTTAGAATAAGTCATTATAGCTTTAAATGAAAGAATGAAGGGTGCCAATAGATAACATATACCATATAGAAATTCATTAATGACCACTCTCCTTAAAGATTCATTAGGAGGCAATTGTAAAACAGTCATGATTTCAACTATTAGCTCTGAAAATGATAACATAGAAGAAACTTTGTCAACATTAAGATTTAGTTAAAGAGTAGGTTAATTAGAAAATGAGGTATTATTATTATAAATATAATTCTATAAAGATAAGAAGAAATGAAAAAATTGATTTAGAAGCAGTAGTTAAAAGATTAGAATAGGAAAAACTGATCCTTATTAGAGAATTAGAATAATATTAAAGAGGTGGTAATGTTGTCAATTCAAACAATAAGAAATTATAAACATAATAATAAATGTTACCTATGACTAATGGAATTCCTTTAAATTAAAAGGAAATCACAGAAAAAGTAGAACTTTATTTAAATGAACGAATTCCATAATTAGATATTAAAAGTGTAGAGGAAGCATAAATATGTTTTGAAGCTATGAAAGACTTATATAATACAAGAATGAAAGAATATGTTACTGAACTTACATTTATATCTGAAAAATTATAGAAATATGATGAAATTTTAACCAGAAAGTAATTATTTAATTTAATTATCTTAGAAAAGAATAGAGTTCATTTTTAGAATAAAAAGAAAATAGTTCTCCAGAAGTTGAAGTTTATAGAAGAAATGAATCTCCTTAAATTAATTTTAAAAAGAAACCAAATTAATGATAGATATATATATATTTTTTTGATAATGCAATCAATCAATTAATTAATCATATGTTTAATGATGTTATTTTATTTTTCAATTCTTCTGCTTCTTCTTTTGTTACATTAGTTTATTTTGCTTAAATTGATGCATTAACTTATGGACCCAATTAATTAATTATAAAGCTCAATCCTTTTTGATTAATTTCAGTTGAATTCAAATTTAATTATAAATTAACTAAAATTGGTAAACTATGAAGGAACTAAAGTATAATATAATTAATTTTTACTTTTCCTAATTTTCTTGCACCTTATTCAGTTATTTTATTGTAATGAACACTGATATTTACACTCTTTAAAGCACTCCATTTGACACTCTAGAATTATTTATTTAAAGTGGCTAAAGAACTATCAGTCAATTGATTTCTTCCAACATTTATATTTAATTCAATTAAAGTAGATGAAAAATTTGGAACATATTAAATTAAACTACTAAATCCATCATCTTTAATATTATTTGAATTTAATGAAAATCCAGAAAAATTTAAAATTAATTTCTTTATTCCTTTGTATACACTCAAAGCATCACCAATTTATTAAGCTGATTTGTTATCTACTTAAGCTTAACTATATATAATATGAATAATTAATAAATACCTGAAATTTAATGATAATCTTGATACCTATGTACCACCAACTGCTTTTAATGCCTTTGCAATATATTATATTGCAGAATTTATATTTGATTATTCAGCAACTACATTAACTTCTTCTAAATTTAATAATTTAACATCTTTAAATTCTGTAAAAAAATCTTTTGCTTAATTTGCTTAAACATTAGATGGAAATTCAAATGTCAAAACTTTCAATTATTCAGCTTATCCAATTGCTTTAATAATCATTATTTATTATTACCTTAAGCTATGTGAGATAAACCTTAAGCTTTATTAGATACATTCCATTTTATTGATAGATTCACAATACTAGTCAATCTTTAAATTGACTCAGCAATTGATTTACAATCAGCTTAATTGAAATCTCCTATATGTAATACTATCCTTGTTTCAGAAGTTATCATTGTATTCAATAATAATGCAAATGCCTCTGCTGTTTCAATATTCAAACTAACAAAGTGTTATTATTATAATGAAGAATCTTCTTATAAAATATTTAAGAACTATTCTCCTAATCTTTATATTTATTAATTCCAAAATTTAAGGGCCAATTCAGATCTATCTTATAGTTCTTAATTAAGAGTTGATTCTAAAGTATTTTTATAAAATTGCTCTTTTGTTTTGTTCCAAACACATAATTCATTTGGAGCCTCTCTCCAAGCTCTTACTTTCTTTGTTGTTGAAAATAGATACTCTGGTAATTCTGGAGCTGCTCTTAGTTCTGATATCTATAAATTATATCAATAATAATACTTTATTAACTATTTCTTTTGGTTTTGGGATTGAAGCTTCCTATTCAGGATCACTCTTTAGAACATTTTATAAAGATTCAAATGCTTTTTAAACATTTTAGGTCTCACCTTTTACACCTTCTACCAATTAAGAAACTACATTATTGCAAGCATTATCATATCCTTCTTACAATTTTTTATTAAGTTGTTTAAATTAATCTACTTATGCTTATATCTTGTTTTAATAAGCTTTATGTTAAGTGTTAAAATTCTAAACTAGTTATTCAGACTCTGCATCTGGGGTATAAGCTAATGGTGACTTTTTTGTTAAGTCTCTAAAATGATAACTAAGATTTAATACTATAAAAAGTCTTTTATTACAACTAGTTCTGATTTTCCATTTGTTTCATGAGCTCTTTAACTAACATGACGAGCAGTCAATAATTTGCTTTTCAATACGTCCTACTACTCAAAAACTAGAACATAAGGTTCGTTGTCAGTTGGGTTTAACAATTGAGGGAATTCAAAATCCATTTATTAATTATTTCTTCATCCCGCCTTCCCCAAAATTGAATTACTATATATATTCTAATTCCAATTTATTCATCCAATGAAAATTTAATTTTTTAATAAATATAAATATTAGTATTTATAATATATATATTTATTATAATTACATTAATCAAATATGCATCTTAATCTAAATTCTCAATTAAATCATATTTGATTCCAATAAATCTTAATTAATTATCTCACATAATCTAATTCAATAAACAGAAATTATTAAATCTATCTTGTTCAGTACTTCAGTAGTAAATTTTTTATAATACCCAAATATTTAATACTCAAAAAGGATTCATAAAATATATTACAATAATTCTAATATTGTTTTATAACCTAAAAATGCTGATATAATAAAAAAAAGATTTACAAATAATTCTAGTTTATGAAATTTGATTATACAGAATTCATTAATTGAAATTTATAGTATTATGATACTTATTATATGGATATTCAATTAGATTATTATTTTTTATGATTATTTTATTCTTTATTTTACTTTCTAAATATCAGAATTAATTTTTACTTATTCTTTAATTTATGACATTAAATATTAAGAACTAAATAATTATTCAAATACAATAGCTCATAACTACTGATTGAACATTATTTCTAATAAGGTTTCATAATCAAATAATCAAAAATATGTATTGATGTTGTCTAATTGTATTAATTAGCATATAAAAATATTGTGATAATTATCATATCAATTTAAACCTAAGAAGTATTTCTATAATATTTAATAGTAATGTTATTCTATTCATCTAACAAACTACTTTGCAGACTTCTTTTTTTTTTTTGATTCTTAAAGTTTATTATTAAGTAAATTTGATCAACCCTAAAATAAGTGTCAACTAGTACAAGATGACTTTAGAGATTTTATCATTCTAAAATTTATTGAATGATTTTGAGAGTATCACAAGTCTATTTTTTTTCTTGCCTTTTTGTTGATAAAATAAAATTTGACAAAATGTTAAAAAGAATAAAAGAATCAGAAAATACGACTTGAAATACATAAGTTCTTAAGACCTTTTGTTGAGAATGTTGTTTTAAGATTTAGAAATATAGATTTATAGATTCAAAGCTTATAACTCTATTTTTTGATGAAGGCTTTTCAAAATTAAGGTTTAGAACTTGGAAGTAAATCAGAATATTGCTTGGTTCTATTTTATTAATCAGGAGTTTGTGAATGACTTTTAACTCTTCGTTAAACGATAGGATTTTTTTGAATATCATATCTTTTCTCTTCTTATATTCCATATGGTTAGGCTCTCTCATAAATTTCATACTAAAATTTAGCTGCTTTCTATTTTTGCTTTCCTTATGCACAACCCATTTTTAATTTTTTTATTGTTAATATATATATAATGTCGTAATCATATATTGATGAAAATTTTCAGTTTATTCAGTTTTTGATGATCGTTTAAAAATTGAAATGTTCTAAAGTTGCTCAGATATACTCTTAAAAATAGAATTGAACGATATAATCAATTAAAAAGAAGCAATTTCAGAAATAACTCAAAATTTAATTCATTTTGAAGTACTATATACTGGAGTTATTAATCCAGAATTTGATGTCATGATTGATTAAATTAAAAAAAATCTGGCAATTAATAGAATAGAGTATATATTGATATCTACAATTGAATTAAAACCAAAGATATTAATAGAATACGATATAATAGACTTTAATAAATATTATATTTTATCAATTATTTCCTTATAAATATTTTAAATATAGTCTGCAAATAGTATTTTATTTTTGTAATATTCTCTTTTCTTTTTATAGTATTTGTTATAAATTCTAACGTATTACTTAATGTAATTACTAAATTGTTATAATTCTTCTAAAAATAAATTTAAAATATTAATGAACTTTTATCATTAATTTGAATCACTTATCTTAGAATTAATTTAATTTTGAAACAAATAAACATTTATTTTATTAAAATAGAGAAATAATTCAATCAATAATATATCTTAATTTTTACAGTAAAGTATTGTAAATTAATATATTTTACTTAGAACATTAATTATGGATTTTAAAGTAAATTATAATCTATAATTATTATACAACATATAATAATATATTTTTTGAAATAAATAAAGCTACATAGCGGATTCAACTACGATTAATAAATATGATATTTTAATTTTAGTTTGAAATTGATCTTAATAGTTTAAGTTTATAAATAATAATTATATAGTAAATATACAACACAAAAAGAAATCATAAATATTCACAAGCCCTTGAAGTTAGATTATTTCTTTCTAAATAAGAGTAAGTTTATTTTGTTAAAGAGTTCTCTTTTTTTTATGATAGTCTCCTTTGAAATATTGGATTCTTTATAATTTAAAATAATTTATTTTTTTCTTAAATCTTTGTTTCATTATCAATTTTGTTTTTTTCAAGTATATTCATAAAATAATCTAAATCCTTTAACTATTTCTTATTTTTGGTAACTCTACAACCCATGTTGAAAAAAATAATGATTTTATAAGGCAGAATAAATAGTAATATGATTCAGTTTATTTGCATATAAAATTTACAAAAATTGAATTAAGTAAAATAAAAAATAATATAAATAAATTAATTTATTAAGTATAATAATTATATAACCATTGTAATTAAATAGATTATTATTATACTAGTTATTTCATATCAAATTTAATTCAATAATTAAAGATCTATGGCTTTTCTACTCTTATTATATTTTCCCATATAATTCATTAGAGTAAATTCAAAATAAGGACCTCCATTTTTTGTAAATTTAACATATTGAGGATTATTCCTAATCTAAAAAATAATGTATACTAATGAACAATCTTATATAGTTTCATCTTTTCCATTGTAATTCCTGCTGCTTAAAGATCATCATAGTGAATAAATACATCTGTTCCATCTTCATCAAGAACTAAAAATCCATATTTCTTTGCATCATCATAAAATTTCATTCTACCTTTTTACCTTAAATATTATTATATTATGAATACCTTTAATGATTTTCATCTAGAACATATGGTAATTTTGATGGTGTTTCAATTTTTGGTGTTCCAATATTTAATTTCAAACTCACTCCAGGAGGATTTTATTTCAATAATTAATAATCATCACTATATTCTTATTCAGACATAATTAGATGTTTTTGAATATTAACAGGGTATTCCAATTAATATTCTTGTTCATTTATTTATTCTATTTTATTGAATGAAGTTGATCGATCTATTTTTCTAGCAATAAATTTAATCATTATTGTAAAAATAAACTATGTTTTAACGAGAATAAAGAAATACAACAAATTCTGGATATAGAAATTCTTCAAATGCATATGTTATGGCAATGAAAGCACTTTAAGAGAAAATAAAGGTTATGGAAACTTAAAGAAGTGACACATTATTACCAACGAAAACAAAATCTAACGATGAAGAATATTTATTATAGTAAATATCTGAGTTGAGAAATTAGAATGAAACATTAACTATGTAATTGCAAAGATAACAAAATGAAAAAGAAAACATTAGTAATTACATTTATTAAATTGATTAATTGTAATAAGAAAGATTAGTTCATTTAAAAGAGTATTAAGATAGAGTCACTGATTTAATAAAAAAGATTGAAGATGGAAAAAAAGATAGATAAGATTAATAAAATTAGATTGAATATTTACAAAGATAATTATAAGCTTATAAATCTAATGAAAGAGGTTTAATGTAAAAGGTAGATTAGTAAAAATAGGAAGAAAACTCAAAATAATTAGAATAAATTATGGAATTAAGATAGAGAGTAGAATCAGGTGAATAATATGCAAAAAAGTTAGAAAAGAAATATGAAAAATTATAAACTGAAAAACATTAACTGGAAGCAGATATTCTAGATTATAAAGAGCGATGTCCAGTGTTTAAGTTATAGGAGTATGAAAAGCAAATTCAAATATATAGATCATAACTTGAAGAAAAAGAGAAAGCATATTTGAGAATGATGGAAGAATTATAAATGTAGCGTTAATAAACTGAAGATTAATTAACAAAAAGAATTTAAGAATTATTAAATAAAAGTAATGAATATTAATCAAATATTCATTAATTAACCATAGAATTAAAAGATATTACTTTAAAATATCAATAATTGAAATTAAGATTAGAATATGAAGAGAAAAATAATTAATAAAATAAAAAAAGATTGAGAAATATTTCATAATCAGAAGATCCTGAATTTGATATGCTTATCAATAATTAATATTAAAGTAATAATTAATAATCAAATAATAATAATAAAGTCTCAAAACTTAATTTAGATTTCTTATCACCACAAATAACAAGTCCAAGATTTGAATAAAGCTTTGTAAAATCAAGTGTTTTAAAATAAGCCATAAAAGATTGTTTAGAAGATATGAAATAAACTACTCCATTTAAATCTGATCAACACAATTTAATATCTTAAGAATAACATCATTAGTAATAGCATTCTAAAAAAAAGTTATTATCCCCTCCCTTAACTGTTCGTAATAGTGAGATCGAAAGTAAACTTAAGTAATTAAATGATAAATACGAATAACTTATTAGATAAGCCTAAAAAGAATCAGATTTTAAATAAAAAGCCTAAATTAGAAAAGAGTTATTAGATATTGCTGAATAGATAAAAGAAGTAAATAGGAAATAATGAAACAAATATTTTTACAATATTTATTTAAATTCAAAAAAGGAACTATTGCATTATAATAATTCAATTCTTTATTAAGAAATAGGTTGTTAATATAAGTCTTTGATATTATTTATCAATATCAAAATCATTAAATAGAGCATATTAAATTAATGAGTGTAATAAGTCTCAAATTAATTTTTAATATAATAAATTAAGTATGAGTTCATTTGGTTGTCACTATTCACGAAAAAAATATCAATATCCTTATATTCCTGAAAAATGAAGAAATTTTTATTACACACTAAATTTTGATATAATTTTTATTTATAATTCTATATTTAAATATCTGACCGGATAAATAAGATATTCCTTTTTATTTTTTTCTCTTACAAATATCAGGCAAGGATTTAACAATAATCATTCTTTATTATCAATGCGACTATATAAAGGTTTCAAATCTCTTAATATATATTAAATTTTAACTAAAATAATAGCCACAAACTTCATAGTCACATTTTAAATTATCAATAGTAAAAATCAAATCCTAATTCCTCTAAGAAACACAACTTTCCATTATTAACCAAAAGTTCTAATTTTTAACTATTACACCATTTTTCTTTTGTTCTTTTTAAACAAATTTGATTAATTGTATATGATTAGTAAATAACAAGAATTATTCTAAATGATTCGTAACTTTAAAACGTGTTGATAACTTATTCTTACTGATAAGATGCTGATAAAATTTGGGCAGCTGAAAAATGAAGAAAAATGAAGAAAAATGAAGAATTATCAAGAATTTTGTTACTTTTTTATAATTTCTTTATTCCATAACAATGTATTGACTTATTTTGTTATTAGAGTTGAAAAAACAATATAAATAATGTAGTTGTGATGTTTCATTAAGGATGATTTTTCATTGGCATTCTCTTCATTCTCTTCAGATCTTAAATAAATCTAATTCTATTTTTCTGTGCTATCTCTATTATTAATGTTGAAATTAGACTCTGATTCTGACTAAAAAGAGTAGTGAGCCTTATAAAAATAACAAAATATTTTAGAAACTAAAAACATTGTAAAAAGGCTAAATAATGATTCTAAAACTTTCCATTAATGTATCAAGTCAACTCTAATATGAAGAAAATCGCTATTATAAGCAATTAATCTTGTTTTTCTAATATTATTTCGACAGGATACAGTTAATATTTTAGGGTATGTGATAAATTAAAACTGAGATTAATCAAGATATTAAGGGGTATAAAAGGGCTCTAAACTTTTGTAGAAGATCATTATTTTTTATAAAACATTTACATGTTAATCATAGCTTTTACGAATATGTTACTATTGCTACTAAGCAATAATGTTGATGGTAATCAAATCAAATAATATTGTAGCCATGATGATGGATTCTTCAACAGATTCAACTTCCGATGCAGTAATGATTTTAGCTGCATCAACAATTTTAGGATAAGAAAATTCAGGCCTTTAAGGTTCTGTTATGGGAGGAACAACAATTTATATGAAAGTAAGAAAAAATATATTCTTCTAGGTTCAAGGATTAGATTAGACTGCTAGCAATAATGCAGTATATATTGGCAAATATCCATGCATAATCTCTGATAAGGGAGTTAATGGATTGTTCATGAACTGTAAAACAACAAAACCAGATCCAAATGACAATAACTTATCTAGCTTAT